ATTTTCTAATATTTTTATCAGAATAATTAATACAATTAATAATATTACTCCTTCAGATCTTTTATGTGTGTGTGTGTTGTTGTTGTATTTTTTTTTTAGATATCCCTTCGACAGTGGAAAAAAAATTTGATTTTCTTCACAAATGTGGAGCTGCTTTACTTAATGAATTCTGGGCGATTACTGCAGCACACTGTGTGGAAAAGTAAGTTTTTGTTTAAGCCTATGAGAAATTAGGATATAAAAAATAATTACTTTAATTGACGTTCTAGGAAAGAGGCCCGAAATAATTCACTCTGCAAACCACGCATGTGTGTTTCGCTTACTCTTCAGGTTCACCACCACAGTGTTAACTATTTCTCTTCTTGGTGGGATTTGTCTTAAAGTGTTGTGAATAAATTCGTAGTATTAAAGTGGTTTTCACTCGGCTATGTGGTCTTATTTTCCTTCCATTTCAACTTATCATCTTGTTGTTATTAAATCTACAATCTTACAAACCATAGCTAATATGCCTTTATTGTGTTTTTACTAGATATCTATAAAGTTCTTACTTTAGATGTGGGTCAGGTGGTTAGGGCGCTCGACTTGCAGTCTGAGGGTAGCGGGTTCGAATCCCAATCCTACCAAACGTGCTCGCCCTTTCAGCCGTGGGGGCGTTATAATGTGACGGTCAATCCCACTATTCGTTGGCAAAAGAGTAGTCTAAGAGTTGGCGGTGGGTGGTGATGACTAGCTGCCTTCCCTCTAGTCTTTTACTGCTAAATTAGGGACTGCTAGCGCAGATAGCCCTCATGTAGCTTTGCGCGAAATTCAAAACAAAGATATACTTTGGATGTGATTAATAAGTTTGCGAAGAAGCATAAGTTAATTTTGAAGCCAATATCTTCAATGTACAGGATGATCTAACAACAGTTATTTGTCCCAGAGCTATGGAAGAGATATGTACAGGATGGTCCAACAACAGTTATTTGTCCCAGAGCTATGGAAGAGAAATGTACAGGATGGTCCAACAACAGTTAGTTGTCCCAGAGCCATAGAAGAGATTTAATTGTGGGGAAAACTAACGTTTGGTCGACCTTATAAAAATTAAGTATGAGACTTAGGAATACAACTGTCTTTATATATTTAGTATAATTTATTGTTGAGAGCCTTCCTTGAGTTGATCACTTAGTACTGTATTGTAGTTTCAAGTTATCTGTACTCTAATAACGGTTCTTTACAGTTGATATTGTCATTTCCTACAGTGTCCCATCGTCTCAGTTACTCCTTCGGCTAGGCGAGTACGATATTAGCGCGGAAAGTGAACCTCTCAACTACGTGGAACGACGAGTCCAGCTAGTTGCTGCTCATCCCAAGTTTGACAGGGCCTCGTTTGAATACGACATTGCCTTGCTGCGGTTTTACGAACCCGTAAAGTTCCAGAGAAACATTCTTCCTATCTGTATTCCTTCAGAAAATAACCAATATGTTGGCCACTATGCCACTGTGACTGGTTGGGGTAGACTACATGAAGGTGAGAAGCAAACGTTGCACTTTCTCGTACAAAATAAATAAATAAAGCGTTGCGAAAGTTTTTGGTTTTTTTTGTGACTTTTGAGGGCCCACAGTTAATTGGAACTTTTAATTGGAGATATACTACAACGTGGAACATAAAATGCACACTATGGTTACTAAAGAGAACCCTTTAATCCATATATTGCAGTGGACCTAGACATATTTCATTAAAAGTTAAAAATATTTTACCTCAGTTTGTTGCGAAAAGATGTGTCTGTTCTGAACTTTTCAAAAAGTATTTAATTATACCTGTTGTATCTATTAATGATTACGTTATACTAAAACTGATTTTATTATGCTTGTTTATCGGTTATTCTTAGATTAGCTTAATCTTCTTGGAATTAATTTTATTTATTGTGTAATAGAAAAACCTTCCGTGAAATTCCGGATTTTAATTCTGTTCCAGTTCGAGGTTTTAGTGTGCCCTACTGTACTGTCAGAGTAACTAGGATTAATTGTCAGTGTTAGTTATTATACAGTCAATAGACTATATATGTAAGGATGTCCAAGGTACTCAATAGGCATAATACAAATATGCACGCTAAAACATCAACAGTTACAGAGGGTTTTACTTTAAAATATGATTGCCACTCATTTTCATTTGTTTCTTTACCCAACAAGCCCAAAAAAACAAAGCAATAAACCATCGCTAAGATACTGTTGCGTATCTGCTTGTTTGTTAATTTCCGGAAGAAATTATTTCAGAGGAACTTCAGCGATATAAGTCCTTTCTTGATTAAACCAGTTTATTCTTTCTCGATGCAAAATTTTAGCACACAGTAATTTCACAATCAATACGTTTCTCGTCACTTAAAACTTAACTAATTTTATAATACACGCTATAAATCACAGCGATTCACAATCTCGATAACTTCACTCTCGACGAGTACAAAACACACACTTTATTTACCGTCACTACTGTTCGCTTCTTTAATTATCTATCTATCGCTGGCTTCTCTGCCAAGCTTATATATTAAAGAAAGGACGTCTCGAATATACTCGGGCTTCCCCGATCATTCATGATCATTCGAGAAATTTCACGCACGCTACCAGCGTCAAACGCTCAGCAGCGTCACGTGACTTCCGCTGTCGTAACAATACCACACCAGAAAGTGACCAACCCACCAAATTATTCATCTTTCTTCTTCTTGTTTCAGTTGAGATAACTCTACAACTACTTTATCACTAATGTTAGTTTAAACCTAAATCCACTCTATGGGTTTCTTGACAGTGCACGATTCATCGCTTAGTCGTAATAACTAGTAGTAATTTTTTTTAAATCACAATTCTTGTGTAAACTATACTATCATTACTCCTTGTAGGCAGCTTTCTTAAGGAAACCTGGTGTTCCTTTAAAAATCTTAAGTACAGGGTGAAACGGGAATTACCAGCAAATAATAGATGAACATTAAATGACTGTAACATATCTTTAGGAAGCCAACCCCTATATTATATATGAAGTGAAGGAGTGAAAAAAATCAATACACAAAATATTACATTCTATTACACACATTCATAGAATACCCTAACCTTCAGTCAGGGGAAACAGCGTCACAAAAACGTAATAAAAATATTTTGTAAATGTAAAGTGATGTAGGGATGGCAGTGTCAAAAAGAATGCAAATAAGAATATAGGGATGATACAGCTATACATAGATCATCTGTACATGACTTTCAATATCAGAAATGTAATGTTACACTGTCAAATGCATACTTCACTTTAATATTACTGCAGTTGAAAGTTGTATACTTCTGACTGTTGGTGGGCAGTTTGTTTATCATAATATCATGGTCATTTCAGGATAAGCATCAATGTGGTGTAACTGTGAACCTAGGACTAACGTACAAGGAAAACCAAGTTGAGTCGAAACATGTTTTGATTATTACAGACTCTCGCTACGAGGTCGGTCGAATTTACCGACCTGGTAACCATTTTGTACTCGTGTATTTTACAGTGTAACATTAAATTTTAATACTGGAAGTCATGTAGGGATGATCTATGTATATCTATATCTCTCCTATATTCTTGTTCTACATTTACAAAATGTTATTTATTACTTGTACAAACAGCAATATGAGCAGCACGATTCTAAAGTATTATTACCAGAGAGAAAATTGTAATATTCATCATATGTTCTTTGTTCTTTACATCTGGATATTATAGGTGTAGTAATTTGAGTTGTTAAAAATACCTTACTAGCAAGTGCTAGGGGTTAACCCTTCGGCTCAGTAGGTAGAGCTCTTATCTGGCATTCATGAAGGTCTAGGGTTCGATACCAAACCGAAGAAATGACATACAGATACCATAGATAAACTGGCACCCAACCAGAAGCCTTCTTTGTGACAGTAGAATAATGTATAGTTTGTTGTAAAAGAAGTGCCTTACTAGCAATTGCTAAAGGAATACCAATTATCTCAGTTTGTGGAACACTCACTCACTCACCTGTAATGCGAAAAGTTTCAGATTTAAATCACGCTATACATGGTAATATTTAACAAGTAAGATCTTTCAGTTTCGATATTATAGTCAAATGAAGCTGAATTGAACCCATCCGCTAAAAACATACCTCTTTTTTTTTCACAATGTTCACTACTGGGGAGGCTCACATATTCCTCTTTTTTCCACAATGTTCATGACTGGTGAGGCTCACATATTCCTCTTTTTTTCCTCACAATGTTCATGACTGGTGAGGCTCACATATTCCTCTTTTTTTTTCCACAATGTTCATGACTGGTGAGGCTCACATATTCCTTTCTTTTCACAATGTTCACTACTGGTGAGGCTTACATATTCCATTATATATATATATATATTCACAATGTTCACTACTGGGGAGGCTCACATATTCCTCTTTTTTCCACAATGTTCACTACTGGTGAGGCTCACATATTCCATTATATTTAATAACTTTATGTTTTTCTCCTGTAGTGTAAACAACTAAGAAAAATCTGTTATATAACAAATATTTTTTTTTTGTAAAATAAGTAGAGACCACAACATATTATTAATGTAGTTTTCTCCGTTGACCCTGTGGTTGCTTGACACGCTTCGAAAACAAAGAGGTTATCTTGCCGGTTTGCCAGTTCTGCAGAATGTTAATTCAAATAAAGCAATAATAAATAAATAATTGTTGTTAAAATTAAAAGAATATTTTGCTATTCATTCTTAACCTAAAAATCTGATTTGTAAATGAATTGAATAACACTTATAATAATTACTCTTCACTTACTCAATCTAATTCACACCATAACAGTTGTAGTTCGTGAAAAATTATGATATTACTAGCAATTACACCATCGTTATATCTATCGTATCACAGCCAGCCTAATGACCTCTAGTATTGGGCAAAAGGCACTAAATATTGTAATTGTGGTGTAATTGACTTATTATAACCTATTCTTCTTTGTTTTACTCATAAATTTCCAGAATGATTTAATGAGATTAATCGCAATATTGATGGGTATTTTTTTATTTGTTTTTGTTTGCCTCGTATTTTAGTAGGGACCTTGTAAAGAACAAAATTATAGACCCCATTAATTTGGTGCATGAATAATTTAAGAAATTGTGTTTAGAAAGCCGATACGGTCCTCTCATCGATATCATTTTAAGGTTAAGATAACCTCTTTAAGATATTTTTTTCTTTCTTGTATTATGGGGTCTTACACTTAATATCCGCTGGAGGAATCCTGCGAAATGAAATTGAAAACTTTGTTTTATCATATTGTTGTTGTCGCACACTGTTAACAAGTGTTTCTTGTAATGTGTTGGACTTTTGGTACTTTATTTGTTAATGAAAATTAATTATATATATATTTAGCGCTCTTCCTCCTTTGATTTTCAGATACCATGCGGTTTTTAAAGGCGTTTTTTTATTATAAGAGATAAGTTAGGATAATATATTTAGCAAACATCTTAATTAACGTTTTTAACCAGCTAAATTGAAAAGACGACATTCTGGAGAACAAAGTAAATAAAAAAATAATGTCTTAATATTCCACCATGTGACGCTCTTTGCTGATAAAGTTTCGAATTTTGGTAACCTTTTAATTTGTACTGACTGTAATGGCCACCCATTAAAATTAGTTTTTTATTGTTGTTGTTTTTTAAGGATGTATGTATGTCACCATGTTTTTCTAGTAATATTTAATTCACAACAATGTTTCATTAGACGGCCCTCTACCGAAAATCCTTCAAAATGTCAAGGTACCGGTTATAACAAACAAGGTATGCATGGATATGTACAAACGAGCAGGCTACATTGAAGACATCCCCGAAATCTTCATCTGCGCAGGACAATCTGACGGTAACGTGGATTCCTGTGAGGTCAGTTAATCGTTAACAGTAAAAAAATACATTTATTTAAAAATATACTTCAGCTAAACACGTAACGAAAACTTCAGGAAGTCATTCTCGAAATTTGAGTCCACTTGCACCACAATAGCAGCCAATATAGCGACATCTATTGACTTGATTTTAATCTCTGCTAAAGGTCATACATTCCTATGGTAACCCCAAACAACAAGACTGTAAATCAGGCTGATATCTTCTGCATTGGAAAAGTCGCATCCAAAAAAATTTAGTGCATTGTAATTATTTGACAAAATATGTTCAGCAGAGCATAAAATTTTTCTAATTTGATCATTTTTTTTTTAGATTTTAATTACTGTCTTGTGCTTTATGTTTCTCCCTCTATAGACTTTTCATTTATAAGTTGAAACGGAGATGGGCAGCTAAATTACGTAAAATATTATGAAATTATTAGGCTGTCGTGTACATAATGACCTTAAAACAAAATTCATATGCTAAAAAATATTAACTCTCATCCTCATATGAAGAACAAATATTTCAACCCAAGAGCTGAGCGAGTTACTTATGCCAATCAATTAGAACATTAAAGTAGGAAAGTCCCATCAAATGCACACGCACACACAATTAACCGTTTCATGTAATATATATATATACATACTATTGCTTAAAGCAAAATGTGCAATTCAGAAAGTTATTAACTAACATTTCTAGAATTATTTCTCGCTAATATTATAATCTAACCCATTACGTCACGCTTAATTTCTCGAAATAGGAGGAGCCATAAAAGCCAAAATGCATTTATCCAGATAAAATAGTTTGATTACTGTCTGCCCATTACGATTTTAGTGATGGAGATGCAAGGAGGCCGTGAGGGGGTACCGTGAAACCTTATAAGTGTAGTGAGAGTTGGTATGATAAGCCTTAAGTAAAGACGTAGTGTGGGATCATCAAGCCTAGAGCCAAGTGCATAAAGTTTATCGTAAAAGTAAAAATAGCGATTCAATTTTAAATTTAAATCGTTTCTGAATAAAGCTATTTTCTGTTATATCACCAACGTTTTAAATAAAAATACAAGCCTCTTTAATCAACGGAGACTCTAAATTAAGAAATCAACAAATATTTTTCTAGTTTTTTTGGCTATACATTTCATTTTATACTTTCAGTACATAGACTAACAACAATATTAGGTTATACTTTTGTTGCCAAGTGACATGACATAAAATAC